TTGGATTGAATTTATTTGAGTCGTAAATTGCATTACTTCGAATAAGCGCCAGCTAAGTCGAAACTTATTAGATCAAGATGTGGTAATTTATACCTTTAATTATCATATTTTCACTAAATCAAGCAATGTTGCGAACATTTCTTATTAAATGCAAATTCATAAGCAAAAGAATTGGAGATTAGCTAAAATAATTTCATTTGTTTAATTAGCCACTGCAGTCAGTAAAACGTTTACGAAAATGAGGCATAATTTTTAAAGATTAGTCAGCAACAGAGTATAATTTAAAGCCTTTAATGCGTTTAATAATAATGAAAAGAATAAATAATAAATAATAGTATACATCTTGAAAGATTGCTGTTGTGCAGCAAGCAGCCAGTGAAACGTTTATGAAATAACAAATAAACCATAGATGGCCATTATATGATATTCAAGCATTAGATAAAATATGTAGGCAAATTGCTAAGACTTAAGCACTTTGATTTGAATAATAAATGCCCCAGCTATGAGCACTTAAAGTTTCCAGTTTTACATCCATCATAATGTTATAGGATAATAACTTTGACAGGCGGCAAGCAACAATGTGCTTGATGGCAACCCCTTTGAGGGAATGTAACTAGCTATTTGGCTAATGCCAAACACCTGGGCGTGGCACTGGGCGTGCCCCGCACCGATTATGGTGCCGAAAAGCAGCTTTGCTGCATTATCTGCTGGCAAATGCTAACTGCAAAGCCTTAACACAAATTTTCAAGTATTAGCGAAGCGCCCCCCTCAAAACCCACAAACAAAAACGAGAATCCACCCAACGGGCAACTTCCGCTTATTTGTTGGAGAGCTTAAAACTACGGCCTATCAGGCTCACACACACACACACACACACACACACTCATTCACACACATCAGGCAAGACAAATTGCGCTTTGGTAGACTCCACTTAATGCGGCTCTACATATTTTCCTTCAGCGTTGCCCCGCCGCAGGCGATGCGAACAAAGCAAAAGAAAAATCCATATTTTATTTTGATTATTTTCCGGCGTCTGTCGGCAGGTGTCGATTTCTTGGTCTCTGTGTGTGTGTGTGGGTAAAATTAAATTTAGTCCCCCACACACATTCACACCGACACAGACAGACAGAGTGAGAGAGACAGAGAAAGTGTGTGAGAGAGGCAGAGAAAGTGTGTGAGAGAGACAGAGAAAGTGTGTGAGAGACAGAGAAAGTGTGTGAGAAAGATTGGCGCCTTTTCTTTCAGCGTCAATCAATTTCGCTCGTCAGACAAAAACAAGCCCACAAAAATGTCCCAAGTAATGGGAAAAATTATTGAATTTGTCAACGACTGCCACAGGGCACAGCGCGCGCAAAAAAAAAACAGAAAGGAGAAAAATGAACGGAAAACTTTTATATAAATATATATATATATATTCTTTTTTTTGATATGGCTTAAAGCCGCGCACAGCTTTAAGCTGAAGATTTATGCGATTTCGCTCTGGTGTCAGACAAACAAAATTATGTTTGAAAACGATTTTGTACCTTGGCAGTCATACATCATCGGGCGGCTCGCTGCTCACTGCGGGTACAGGTGGTGGCGGAGGAGCAGCCCTCTAAAGTGTAACAACCCTCAACGTTAACAAATTTGTTTGCGACGTTTTTAAATTTCCCAAACGCAAACACACACATTGCAAATAGCTAATGTAAATCGTGTGTGTGTGTGTGTGTGGGTGCTGAGGGGTGTAGAGTGCCAAAGGGGACGGGGAAAGGAGGAAGGGGGGGAGGGGAGGGCTGCACCTTATTTAGTCAAGCTAACCTAACGTTGCTCCGCTCCAAGTGATTTGTTGACAAAGAAATTTTTTAATAATTCACCAGGCAAAAAAGAAAGAAATAGAAAAAAAAAATGCTCATTCAGCATAAATGATGATGTAATTTTCGCTAAAAATTGAAAAAATCTTCAAGCATGCGGGGGAGTTTGGCGAGGGGTGCATAAAATATGTTGCAACAATCTGTTGTTGCGTGTGTTGCCACTGACGATGATGAATGTTGCACGCATGCGTTCCACTGATTTGACGTACGGATAATTCCGGCAATACTCTCCTGCTCCTGCTCCTGCTCCTGCTGCTCACGTTGCTGCTGCCGCTGCTGTTGAATGCCCCACCTCCCACAAAAGGAGTTAGTTTTCCTTGGAGTTTTGGATTGCGTAGATTGAAAGATTTTATCTATGATCGTATAACTAAGATCGTCTTGTAAGATGTTGAGGGAATTGCTTTCCCGCTTTCCCAATTCCCTAGAAAACATCGAGAAACCCATTCGAAACCATTCCAATTGGAACTCGACTATAACGAACATCTCGACAACAATTTATTTATTGTCGCATCATTTCAGGACAGTTTGTCAGCAGTAGCTGGTGAAATGACATTTTTATATACTTTTACTTGACTTTTTCCATCGCGCACTTTCCGAAAATGTAATGAAGCGAATGATGTCTAAAGAGGCCCATAATTCTACCAGGCAAATTGATAGTTGACCACAAGTTGTTGGCCATGCTCGAAATGTGCCCAATGTCTGTCGTAATGCTCATGGCTCATTAGTTTTCGCCTAATTTGAGTTGCAGGCGGTTCTGTCTACTAATGGAATTCAATCAATTTTCATTTATTTCGATTACGAAATTCGCACCACCAACAAATGGAACTGAACCACTTCATCCCCATCCATTCATCCATCCATCCATCCATCGTTTTGCCCTCTGCCAATGGGCACTGAAAAATTTCTTAATTATCCTGACGTGCCGCCTGGAAATGTGCGTGTTGAACTTAGATTGGGGATGGGGGTGTGGGTGTTGGTGGGATGGGGTGAGGGGTTGTCAGCGTGTCCATTGATTGACATGCTCCATCAGTTTTTTGGTTGTGTTTTCTTAATGTTTGTCGACAAAGCAAGACAAATGAGCCCATATATAAAAATATATAAGGCCAGTGGAAAATTTGGACTCGTCCCCAAGTGACGAATGTTCAGCTGATTTTTGTTCGGCTTTCAACTGATATTTGACATTTCAATCTAATCGATTCCCGAATCATCGAAATTGGTCGAACCAATTAGAGCTATATATATTTATATATATAAAGATATAAACGTATAAAAGGTACATAGAAATAAATACTATAGAAAACTTAAAGCAACTGCAACTTTATTATTCCTTCTGTTCTGAGAATTATAAATTGATTACGACTCTTTTTGTGACAATGGAATGAAATGAAATGAAATTAAATATTCCGAAAACTTCCACACAAAGAAAAATAACTGTTTTGGAAAAAAGGTTGCAAAATAATCTGCTTATGAAAGGACTGCACAGACAGACAGTCCCAGTGTTCCCTCCGCACCAACTTCCCCCTCCCAACTGCGGCAGTCTTTTGCTCAAGCAACTCTTTCAAGGAAATGAGAAAGCACGTAAACAAAGAAGTGAAAATTAGATTTGTATTTCATAGCGCAAAATGAAAATGAAATGAATTTGTTTTTTCGTTTCTCGTGTTATTTATAAAAAGATGTAGAAAAAATAAACCCAATTGTTTTTACTTAGCCAAACAAAACAAATCTTTCATTGGGATCTAGGACCAAGAGTTACTCAACAATGCGGGAAGGAGCCACTCCTAACTGCGGCATACGAAAAGGGAACTGCAATCACCTGCCACAACGCAATGCCAAATTATTATGTAACCGATATCTGGTGGTATATATCACAACAAACAGCAAGCAGACACAAGTTCATTAAAAAGCGCAACCAAATATAAAAAAAAATATCAATTTTGCTGTTTCAGTCGTCGAACGACTTTGCCATGCCCTTTGAACAGAATATAAAATAAATAAATTCTATATAGAACAGTTCAATTTGAAATAATTTAAATTTTCGCTATTCATTTTAACATAATTTGCTGAAAAAAATATATATTCAAAATATTTATTATTTGAAAACAATTTAACAAACTGCTAAACTTGACAAAGCAAAAGTTAAATAATAAAAGCAGCTTTAAAATAATACAAAGAACTACAATATTTTTCTTTAAACAAAGTATTCTAGTTTGTAAGTATCGAAATATATTAACTGTCTCAAATGTTTTGGCCATAATTGTACACGAATAAAATCTGAAGCTTGTATTTAAGAATATAGTTTAGAAATTTATTTATTTATTAATCACAAACTTTGAATCAAGTTGCTAAGCTTCATTAAATAAAATTGAGTTGTTTAAAAATATTTCAAAACTTCGTTCAATATAAAAATTAATCTATTTTTTAATATTTTTTATTTCAGTAAATATTAAGAAAAAAAAACGGACTGAAAAGTTGAGTCCAGTTCTAATACAAATCTGAAGCTTACATATAGGAATATCGGTTATTCATGCTACACGATGTGGCAAAACTGCTGAGAAAGCCAATATATGCCGAGTTATCAGGCAGGAAGAGGCCCTTGTAAGAAAACCGCTGCAAAAAAGGCAGCAGCGGACAAATCTGTAAGTGAAATCTGCCTGGCCATTGGCAATAGGTTCAGGATAGGGACTGCAGAGCATGCCAGCGGCAGAGGCAGAGTTGAAGTTGCAACTCTTTGCCTCAATTATAATGAGAAAAGCAAACGAATTGGGAATAATTTTCAATTCACTTGTTTCCCACCTACATTCGTGCCATCGATTATTTGTTCCTTCTTTTTTTTTTTTTGGGGAACGATCCTCTGATATTTATGTGCCCTTTGTTTTCATTATTTATATATATGTATATATATATATATATATGCGATTCATGCGAATCTGAAACAGACGCTGCCGGCGTATATTACTTATGTGGCATGATAAAGCTGTTACATATTTGGGGATTCTTCGATTTTTGTTTATTCGCAGGTAGGCGTGACTGGTTTGCCAGAGAGTGTCGACTGTATGTATATGAAATAAATGAATTATTTATACAACTGCCAAAATGTTGGCAGCTGCAGCTATTTTAACTGAAATTTTAAATGTAATTCAATTTCTTACGTTGACTTTAACCGTGGAACTTTGCCAACTTATCCGCTTGCATTTCACTTTATTTCAGTTAGTTTGTACAAAATGATTGGATTTAGACCTGCTGTAGATTGCGTTGTTCATTGATCGAGTCGCCAACTTGACCATCACCGGCATTAAACAATTCTCCAGCTGGTAGCCATGCATCGAGGATGTGGCCAGCGCAGCCGAGAATCTCGAAACGAAGCTAATAAATGCAAAGTTCTGTTGCTCGTCATTCGGCAGATTGGTCACAAACACAGTGGCATGTTTAATCTCCGAGTTGCGCTTGCCACGCAACGAGCGACCGTTCAAGCTGATTTGGGCCAACATCGCATTTTCGGCCGCCTCAAATTGGACGAAGCCGTAGCAGAGGCTCTTATGCGTCTTAGACTGACGGACAACTTTGGACCGTGCAATCGGCCCAAATATGTTGAACATGGCGTTCAGCTCGTCCTCGTCCATATTCTGCGGCATATAGTTGACAATCAGATTTGTCGACGGATCTGCTGCCAAATCAAATGAAAAACAAGATAAATATTATTTCATTTATGTTGCGACTTAACTCACCCGGCAGGATGAAATGGATTCTCTGAAGATACGATGAATATGGAAGCCGCACACTTATTTCTCTCAACTTACAGCAAGAATTTCTGTCAGCAGTCAGTGTTATTCGATAGCTGGCTATCGATAACTAATCGGTCTAGGCGACACAGCTCCTGCCCAGCAGTGTTGCTGTTGTCGCCCTTTATCGGGCAGGATAAACTGCAAAAAGAATATGTTCAAAAGTATGTAACCGGCATAATGCATATATATTCTTGAACATCAGCGAATCTCAGAGCTATAAACCTCAAATTTGGAATATAAATTCTTATTCATCTCTCGCATATCGAGTTTAATTCATTTTATCCATAACTGCCTCTTGTTCGATATGTATCGATTTTCGCTTACAATAAAACCAATAATTTTATATAATATACATTAACATTTTATTGCTCAACTATATAAATGTAATCAACTAAGTTATAGCGTAAAGAATATTTTCTTATTGATCATCGCAAGTTTTTTCTATATAAAAATAAGCTTGCATGTGTCAGAAAGGGATGGCATCATAATCGACGCGCGCGAAAATTTGTTTTCCTTTCTATCCGATTTTTGTAATCGATAATTATTTTTATTTTTACTATTATTATATTGTATTATCCAAAAATATCGACTAAGCTCACTATCGATAACTGCACATTTGCAATCGAGTATCGATTAGCGAAACCAGCTGAAAACATGGAAACATTTCCCCTTAACCCTCTACCCAACGTTCACTGTACGCCCAAGGCAGTTTTCACTGTACCACATATGGCTTTTTTAATATATTTTCTAATATAAATTAAATGAAAATAAAGAGCCTTAATAAATCTATTATAAACAAGACTTTGCTTGCAGTTTTGCCATTATTTAGCTGCAATCGCTGATTATTCAAAAAACTTAAATATTTGGGGCAAACAACAAAACAAAAAAGAGAAGAACAAAACAAAAAAACAAATAAATAAAATAAGCAAAAAAGGCGTAAAATGCATTAAGAAAAGTAAAATGAAGCCAGCGTAAAAAAGTTTTTCACCTGCTTATTTATTTGTTTGCTGATTATGGAATTGTTAAGGACAAAAACAAAAATAAAAATAAAAATGCAAACAATTTAAAGTTGGAAGCCCACAAAGGCAATTAATTGGAACAGCTGCAAAAAGGAAATTGAATTCCAAACACAAGAAAGAGAGCATAATAATATAACTAGTTGTTTTCAACTTGAAGCACTCGAAGTGTATCTAAAATTCGTTAGCATAATAAAAGGAAAAATACTTTTATCATTTGAGAGTTGTTTTCATATTAATTAATTTCCATTTTCGTTTTATTATCATGCGTACGCCGATTTTTACCTTTACGCAGACTCGACAATTAATCAAGTTTAATTACAACCCGGTTAGAAGTTGCTCCACAATCATCCGCACCCTTCCACCACCCCCTCGAGGATATTCTCGAGAACATTGGCCGCATTAATCACTTGAATACGCCAACATTTCTCATGTGTGCGAACGTTGAGAAACGGCGCGGGGCTGTGGTAGGGAGGGGGGTGCTGTTCCTGATAAGAGTAAGAGACTCATAAAAAAGGGCGTCTCACGTAAACAATGCATTTAAATATTCGCACACAGGAAAACGACCTATTGTCAGATCATTTAATGGCCTAAATGGCCTAAACCGAAAATATATTCAAAAGACATATCATCCACTTGGAGTCCACGCACTAGCGGGCACAACAACCGCTGCACTCTGGACAAAAGCTAAGTGCTATGAACATGTCTGCCTGCTTGTGTATCGCATGTTGAAACTAGAGTTGTGGACCAAATTATACCCTGGAATATGTATATATATATATCAAATTATAAGTCTTCATTTTATAACAAACCCAAAACGTATGTGTTATCAATATAAGTTTATATATGTATTTATTATTTATATTACAAGATGAAATGGGGAAATTTGCTAATTAAAAAGCATTTTTAGCATTGCTGTAGAAATATACTACGCAACTTAGAAAATTTGTTTAACTTGTGTGGTACGCGAATATTTGTTATCAATAATCGCATTTCTCATTTGAAAATGCAATTAAATTTTTTTTATTAAGCTTACGCTTGTCTAGTGTCGTTTTCATGAGCACAATTTCAAGGATTCCCCACATTAATACGCACAAACACACACACGCACACACATGCACACACATGCACACACACACACACACACATTAGCGTCAAGTGATGCGGCGACCTCCAGTTTTGTATCTAATTGGCTACCACATTTAATATGCAAACAATTCACAGCTGCAATTTAACAACAATCAAATAAATTTTCGGTGTTTCGGAATCAATTAAGCTGATCTTTGTATGCGCTATCGAATGATATCAAAACATATGCTGGGCATTCCCCCCCCCAACTACACACACATATATATTTATATATATACATATACATGGCTCTGCTGTCTGTCAGTGAGAATTGTCAAAAACAACAATAATGCCAACTACAATAACAACAGATGTTCATCGAAGCTGCGCGCAAAGGTAAACGAGTTGTGCTCACGAGCAACTTTGAAGAGAGCCAGAGAGCGATGTGTGTGTGTGTGTGTGCGTGTATGTGTATGTGGGAGGCATGTAACACTGACTATGACCTCAAACCACCCACAGCAATGCAGCTTCTGAAGCTGAAGCTGGCAGCGACGTCAACGTTAACAGCAACTTCGCATATTTTAGGCAAAAACATTTTTGCATTGCTGACGTCACAGACCACAGTATGTTGTTGCTCTGTTAGTTATTGTTGTGGATTGTGGATTGTTGTTAGCTGCTTGTCGATGTTGTTGTTATTGTTGTGCCCACAAAAGGTGCGCTTACAATTTTCTCCACTTTCTACAAGAAAAATGTGAGAAATCAAAAAGATGCCACCGCTTTGTCTGTAACTGTGCATGTGTGTGTGTGTGTGTAGGTGTGTTTGTGTGTGCCAGCCACAAAAGTTCAATGGGAAAGCAACATGAGACTGAATAGATGTTCAAATGAAAATAGACCGCAATTTATTGATAATATCAATCAAATTGTAACGCAGATAATGTTTTTTTTTCTGTCTACTCTAAACAATGGCCGTCCATTCAGAACAGATGGCTGGAAGCAGTGAAGTCTGCCTCGGCATCGGCGTAGCCGTCGACGTCGACGTCATCGTCGGCATTCAATTGATGCAAAGTGAAAGAACGTTAAATACTAAAAAAAAAAAACGTGTGTGGTTTCAATTGGAGGGTGCCGCACAACATAAGAGTGGAAGGAGTGCATCATAAGCCGTATTTTTTCATGCTAAAAACGTTCAAAAAATTGTTTGTTTACAATTTACAACAAATGTTCACATCGACGTGCACACACACACACATGCACAGAAATGTAGAGAGAAACAGAGAGAGAGAGAGAGAAAGAGAGCTACATTCTAAACGCAGAGAGCCGTAGTGAGAGTGAGTGCCGATCAAATATGTATTGAAATGAGTATCTGTGTTGATGATCGCTTTTAGTGATTAACTGTCTGTGTGTATGCGTATGTGTGTGTGTGTCTGCTTCAATTTGTGGGGGGATGACATCACCACACGTTGCTGTTGCAAAGTTCGCACTGTATAATTTTTTTTTTGCCTCTCTCTTCTTAAATTTGCTGCTCTCTCTTCGACGCCAACACCTTTGCAAAACGTACACTGGGTTGTAGGCATGTGTGTGTGTGTATTTGTTTACTTGAATGGAGCACAGTGGACCTATGTCTGCTTAAACATTTTTTCAATTTGCGGGTATTTTTCTAAAACTTTTGAGATTTTGTTTTTACAAAAACTATTGAAAAAAATGCTATATGCCTTCCACCATAGTCAATTTTAGAAATGATAAATTTCTGAAGAAAACAAGTTTTCACAAGTATAGTGAAAAATATTGCAAACTTACATGAAAGAAAGATAGCAAATTTTTCATGTTTTACTTTTATGTTCCCCCAAAATACACTAATAAAATTATATTAAATTCAATTTTTTAACTTCGCTAGACTTTCAAAGTACGCAACAAGTGAAAATGTTGCACGAAAAAACAATACACTTTGAAGCACTGTGCGATTGCACGTAGGCGCAACAACAACTCAAGTGGATTTGATAGTTGGCCAGCGAAAAGAGAGAGCGAGAGAGCAATCCGGGTTGAGCTTACGCCAACGCTAACTTTTCATTTTTTTTTTTTAGCTCGCTGTTTATGGCTGAATGCATGTGTGCTTGTGTGCAAGTGTGTGTTTATATGCAAGTGTGTGTGTGTGGCGCTCTCTGCTGTAGACCTGGGGGCCTCTCCATATTCAATCAGTCGTTTGGAATTCGCGAAACTATGCGGTCGCCGTACGAAGATAGCGCTGCCGTGTCAACGGATAATAAGTATCAGCAAGCAAGCAGCTACAGCTACAGCAGCTTCAATGGCACTAATAACAATAATTACCATACCAATTTTAATGGCAACGGTAATGTGAATGGTAATGGTAATGGTAATGGTATACCCTATCACGCGCGCGAAAACTCATTGCCCTTTAGCTATGGCATTGCCAAAACGGCAACTCCGCTGCGCAAAACGCCAACGCCAACGCGGCTCGACAGTTTCCTCGACGCCGACTTCGGACTGAGCAGCAGCAGCACTGGCGGCAGCGGCAGCGGCAGCGTCGGCGTCAGCCATAATGTCAGCAATACCTATAATAATCATCATCATCACAATAACAACAACAATAATAGTGGCAGTGATATGATAAAGCCGCAGCCACGTTTAACCAGCCCTTTGCTGGTCCGCAAAACGTTGGCCAACAATTCGAATGCGAATCCGAATTCGAACTCGAATACCATATCGAATACATATCATTATGGGTCAGCGCCACGCGCCGATTTCGAGCAGCTGCTGCGCGATCGACGCGACAAAGTCTACGGCGAGTATCGCGATCGTGAAAAGGAGCGTGAAAAGGAACGTGCTTCGGCACGTGTGCCGCCAATGCCACCCCAACGCCGACTGAGCCACAACAACAACAACAGCAACAACAAATACAATTACGATTTTGAGTTTAATCTTAATTTGAATGATTTGAATGAGCGCAGCTCGCTGCCAGCACCAGCACCAGTTCCAGCTCCAGCTCCATATACAACCCGAAATATTGAGTACAGACGCGATGTGGATTTCGATGTGGATGAGCCCGATGGCAGCGCCCTTCTTGGTCGTCGTCACATGGAGTCCACATTTGTGGAACGCAATTATCACACAATTAACAGCAAGAGCCACAGTTTGGAACGCACACCAATGCAGCTGACATACAAACAGCAGCAGCATCAAACGATGGAGCCACTGTTGATGCCACAGTTGGAGCAGCACCATCAGCAGCAGCAGCAGCAACAGCAGCAGCTTGCTCACATTTATGGCCAGAACCACACGCGCAGCCGTCGCGATTTGTCGCCCATTTATGCCATCAGCGCAAAGCGCGCTCCAAATACTCCAAATGGACAACAATTGCAACTGCAACAACAACAGCAGCAACTGCAACAACAACAGCAGCAGCAACAGCAGCAACAGCAACAGCACCATCAGCAGCAGCACTATCAGCAGCAGCAGCAGCAGATGGATTACCTGCTTACGCCCAGTCCAACAAGCCGGCCAGAGACGCCCGCCTTTCCGCTCACGCCACGCACACCATTCTTCGGCAGCGCCTCGACTCCCCAGCATGCCTCGCCCAACAGCAACAGCAACATCAACAGCGAGTCCATTTATCAGACAATTGCCAGCAGGCAGCAACTCAATTCGGGACATTCACCCACCTTTGAGGTTGCACCCGATTTGGTTAAATTTGCCCGGAACTCGGCAAAGTTTTGGTACAAGTCGCTATTGTCGCGGGAGGATGCAATTGCGCTACTGTTGAATGCACCGCCGGGCACATTTGTGGTTCGCGATTCGACCACGTACAAGAATGCTTATGGGCTGGTGTTGCGTGTGGCACAGCCACCGGCAGGCAGTCAAGAGTTGGTGCGTCATTTCCTCATCGAGCCGACGCAGCGTGGTGTGCGCTTGAAGGGTTGCGAGAATGAGCCCACTTTCACCTCACTCTCCGCCCTGATCTATGAGCATTCCATCAATAAGCTGGCGTTGCCCTGCCTGCTGCGCATACCCGATGCGGATGTGGTACCTGGTCTGGCTACGCTCACAACGCCCGCCCAGCAACAGTTGCTCGCGCATGGCGCTGCAACGAATGTGCTGTGGCTGTTCAGCTGCGATACGGAATCGTTGACGGGCAATGAGGCCATTAGGAAGGCCATCCGGCAGCTGTATAAACAGCAACCGTTGCCAACGCCCACCGTGGTGCACTTCAAAGTCAGTGGCGAGGGTATCACGCTAACGGACAATACGCGAAAGAAGTTCTTCCGCAAACACTATACGGCCGATGTGATCTCGCATTGTGCCATCGATCCGGAGAATCGCATGTGGAGTTCACCCGATGATCCCAACAGCAAGAAGACCATCTTTGCCTTTGTCGCCCGCAGATCGCACAGCTCCAAGGACAACCAGTGTCATATCTTCTCCGATCTGTCCGTTGCCCAACCGGCTGTGACCATTGTCTCATTTGTCAATCGAACGCTGCCCACCGAAAAGCAGCGCAACTATGTCCTTTGAGGAGCGGCCAGGACATTGAAAATGGGGAAGGACCCCCAAGGTGAGTTACTGCCCCCAGCTAATGTAATAGTACACTCAGAAAAAAAAAAGACATTGAATAATTTGTATGCTTACTTATATTGTTTTTAAGTTTAATAATAATTATAAAAGCTAGACTCTAATTTGAAAGCCAGTAAATTTCATTGCTTGTTTCTGAAAGGATTTTTTCAAAAATTAGATTTTGCACTTGTACTTTTTAGAAATGAATTTCTTAATAATAAAAAATATGTCTAAAACATTGAAAAAATCGCAATATTTTTGGTATTGTCGTTTTAGGACAATCCTTTCTACATTTTATAAATTTATTTCCCAATATTTAGAAATGATTTCCAAAAAAAAATAGGAATACTTTATATTTTTTACAGCTTTTTTTTCTGAGTGTAGTGTAGGAAGCAGTCGGAACCATAAAGCTGAAATAAATGTGTCTCGGGTGCGGCATCCTTGGGCGTGCATTCAAATACAGTGGTCACTCAATGCAACGAACGAAATATTAAATTAAATTCACCATCAACAATTAGAAATATATCTATATATATTTCCATGATTGAACAAACGAATAATTTTCTACTTGACTTCTATAAAATGCTGATTCCCTTTTCTATAATCAGTTGGAAGTTTTAAAAATTTTTTAAATATTTTGTTAGGATTTGTATTATTTAAAATTAAGGGAAAGAAATTAAAACTATAAAATGAAAGAGACCAATAAATAAATAATAAAACACTAAAAACAATAAAGGATTTAACAAATTAATCCGGGCCTATTAAAATGTAAAATTATCCAATATTATTGGGCAACAATTGGGGAATCTCAAAAGTCAGTAGAGCGAAAGAGAGAGAGGGAGAGAGAGAGAGAGACATAAAATAAAGAAAAGATAGGCAAATCAGTAAACCTGTTGAGTAAGATACGTTTGCCACCCACAGTTAAGCACGCTCAAGGTTTATCGGAGATATGTTAGTATTGAAAGCTGAAAATCAAATTGAATACAAGATTTAGATAAATTCCAACAAATATTCTAATTACGTATTCTCAATTCTAATTAGATTAAAAACATGTACAGTACACACTCGCTGTAGAAAACCACCTATAATGCTGGCAATCTAGAGTCAATCGATAAGTGTATAAAAATTTGAGTTAATAACTGATAGCTGTATGTTTTGCTAGTGTTCACTGTACATGCAAATGTTCCATCATTTTTAGCGTTGTGCGGCGGAAAACGATTCAAACTGTTTTAATTTCTTAGCGCTGCTTGTGTGTGTGTGAGTGTGTGTGTGTATTTGTTTACTTTACATAATGCCCCCCACTGCCCTTTAACGAGCTGCCTGTTTGTTTGTCTTATGGTCTTCACACACACACAGACACAACGATAGGAACGTAAAGCTTATGTGCCTGGCTAAAAAACATTTCTGACGCTCGTTTTGCTCGTTTTGCAACGGAAGTTTATGTCATGAGTCAGTTGCCTAAATATGATGTTGCAAACAAATTGGATTGATTCTGAATCTGTTAAGGCGTTATAGCGTCTAGCATAAGTATAATGGGCCCACACCTTTGTGCAATCTACTTAAGGCATTTCTATGTTGTTTTCGTAAAAATTTGATTAATATGTCCACTTCACGGTCAGGCGCTGAGGTCGACCGATAAGCCCCAAAGCTCCAAACTGTGCACTCTTATTGGTTATGGGCCAAATAAATATTTTTTTTATATTTTTTGATTACAGCGAACATTTTGCTATCAGGCGGCTCAATTTGTCATTGCTCCAATACATTTTCGAAAAAAAACAGCTTGAGTTTATTAACTATCGATATAAATGATTGGAACTATCAGCGTGCGATTAATGTACATATATCTTATCAGAAAAAGTTAACAGTACATAAAGTGAAAGTATCAATTTGACACATATAAACCTTTAAAAATGTGCGTACGTGTATCACTTATCAGCTTGAACTAGGATCCATATGGAATATATAGCTTTATTTGATTTTCTTAACTTTAATACAGATTGAAAAATAAAAGGAAATAGTTTCCAAATATTTAAGATGTTTTTCCACACATGTTTCAACGATTTCTTATTGAGTTCATCAATATATTCTACGCATTTGAATTTTTCTACAGAAATCTATAGGTATTTTTTGATATATGTATATATGTATACGAAGCAAAAGAGAAAAAGTTGAAATAGATTTAAATGATATATGCATATAGACGATCAGGTCAATTGCGCATTGTCGAAAACACGCAAAGAGAACAACGGAAAAATGTAATTCCAGACGGGATTCGTTTAACGATTTTGTTTTTTGCTTTTACTTTTGCTTTGCTATTTGGTTCCAGTGATTTCGCAGAATACCCGCATAAAAGTAACAGTAAATATAATTGAAAATTCTAAAAATAGAAATAAAATTGCTAAAGCTTAAGAGCAAACAGGCGTCAACTGGCTCTCCCTCTCTCTCTTTCTCTGTCTCTCTTTCCCCCGCTTGACGCGGGGGCCTACCGATTGTTCCGATGAAGTGAGCCGTTTGATCTACAATTAAGCAATTAAAGCCATTATACAGATTTTATGACCTTTTGTTTTCTAGTATTTAATGCCAATTATTAAAATTACTTTTTTTCTATTTTTGTTTCAGGCAAAGCTTGGAAGTGAACGAAAATGAAACGCAGCAATTGAAAAATAAATATAGAAAACAAATACATATATTAACAATATGATGTCAGTTAATATTCGTGTGGCACTCACTCACACACACTTGAATTATCTAAACGCACAGTGGAACAAAGCAGCATGGAAATGTTTATAAGATATTGGAATGTTTTTCAAATTTGTGTAAAAGTTAAGCACTTTTTATTTTTATTAATCACACATAGTCATAAGAAATATGGTCATATATATATACATATATATACTAGTAACAATTTATTAAAAAAAATAACTATGTTGTATGTGCTAATAAGATAATGTATATCAATAAATTATTCAGTGCTTATTTGTCCTTAACATTGTACATATTATATGTATGCTAACTATAAGAAAAATAAATAGTAAAAATTGGTAAATGTTTTTTCGATAAGCTTAAGTACTTCCTTAACCGAATCCAACACATTCAGCTCAGAAAACATTTCAGCTAAATATTAAATATTTATCAAGAATTGTGTCTCTTTGTTCCACTGTGCAGTGAACGAAATTTGATACCTGAATAGTTGTGCACTTTAACAACTAAAAACATAATAATAAAAAAAAACTGAATGCCATGTGTGTATATAAAACATAATATATATATATATATATATATATATATATATATATATATAATGTAGTTTTAGTGTCCACAAGATGTCAGACGAAAGCTAATCTTTCTAATGTGTATCCATAAATTTCGATACGAATAATCTTAATTAAAGGCGTAATAAATGTTAATTTAATTTACAACTTTCGAAAGCAAACAACAACAAGTTTGCCATACAATTTATAGTTAATTCGGTGTGCTAGATTTAAGTTCTACTAATGCAGTCAATACATAAATAAAGTGCAATTATATTCAAGATAAAAATCCTTAACAAAACCAAACATTTCCCTTCGATTTATTCACATGGAATTTTACACAGCAATAAATTAAATGTGTATCCACAAAGTTGCTAACAAATTGCTTGTGTGAAAATATGGCAAATTAAAAGAGGCGCACATAAATTATTTTTAAATAACAACGTCTGTTTGTAATATACACTGTACACTGTATACAGTTCTAATCCCAAACTGGTACAATGGGCAAATATATATTTATAAGCATATGTAACAATTGTTTGTGTGCTTGTCGCTGTTGTTAAACAATTAAAGTGTCTGACTGTTGGGTATATATGAATATATATATATATATATATATATATATATATATATATATATGTATGATCATATTGTTATATATGTATATATGTAATGCGGTCGACATCTCGTACCAATGTACACAATGCCTGTCTACGTCTTTTGTTTTGTAATTTAATCTTATCGTTTGACAAACTGCCATATAGATACTTTTCCCATTTAATATGGTCAGTTAGCTAACAATTCCAATGATCAACAAATACTATAATTTGTTCATCTAAATGCATGTCGTTTATAACACTTGTACAGTTGTCTGTCCCTGTTCTGCTTCACCTGTTGAAAATCAATTAAAATAAATATTCAATTTAAAAGAAAAGAAAAATACATTGGCAGTGACTTCTTTGATTTCTAAGATCATAATAAAATAAATACAAATAATTTCTAAAAGTTTTTTCGCCAAGCGACCCACTGTATTTTAATTGCGATATATGTATATTGTATTCTCCAATTGGAAGCTTCATTGAGCTTCATTGCTCAATATATACATATATATATATATATTTCAAACGCCCTTTAATTCCAATGGCTTAATGCAATTTATCACACTGCACTAACAACTAGAACAACAACAGCAACAACAAAAATTACACTACAAAATAATAGCAGCAGCAGGAGCCAAAGCGTGTCAAGTGAAATGAAAATGCGACCGGCGGCGACCTTGAAATCAATTTGTGCCATGATGACGTCATGCGTCAACAATAACAAACTGGCGCAACAGGCAACAGCGAGCGAAAGAGTGAGCGAGAGAGAGACAGAGTGGGACAAGCAACGACAGCTGTTTGCTGTATGTACCAATAAGAATACCATTAAAATAGATTGCAACTACAACTATGGGGCAAAGATTCTATGCATAACTTAGAAACCACTTTGCACCCACGAAATTTCTTGAACTCTTTTTTTCTTCTCGTATTGTCAAGCATTAGTCGCACGCGTTGTTTCCATTTTTTTTGGCTTTGGCTAATTTCCTTTATTTAATAGCTACGGAAAGCGAAACCGGTTTGTCATGTTCTCTGGCTAATATACTTACTTGTGTGTGTGTGTGTGTGAATGTATTTCTGATAATTAAGCAACCGAAAATGAGCAGATGTTGATCGGCGCCAACGCACATTGGTGACACTTACGTGCGTGCGGCATGCGTGCGTTGACGAGCTCATTCGTCTGTATAAACTTTGACCAAAAACTTAACATAATAGACATATATATATATATATACATCTATATGTTTTTTAGACTAAAAACTTTACAAAATACATATATCAATTAATATGTGCATTATACGCATGTTCTCATATTCATTTATCGATATCGATTACTGTTACATATCGATTGATAAACCAAGCAAGCCCCGCGCACTGTTAATTTAAATGTTGTCAGCTGCTTTTACTGCTAGTCCACAAGTAAAAGATATGATTCAGATCTAATTAACGAATAACAAAAAAATTACTTGAATTCTTGCATTCATTTTAATACATTTGGTTGTGTGTGTTTGTATGTGTGTGGGTGTGTGTGGTATACAAAAGTGAACATAAAATCAACGTCCTTAAACACGCTGTTGTTTGTTGTGTATCCGAGTGGTGTCGTGTTTTTAGATATCTACATAGCTACATACATATTTTCGTTTACATCATATTTAATTAAACATAATAAATACATTTCTAAGCATATAATATATGGTATATATATAAATATAACAAATAATACATCCAGTTGTTACGTCTATTCCAAATTTGGGCCTCGCAACTTCCAACAGATTCATCAACAGTACAAGTGATACAAAAATACATCATAATGAACAAACCAATGGCAGAGTAGCACAGTAGCTAAGCACACAAGTGAGGCCAATAACGATCAAAACGATTTGCAGTACAAAATGATTTTCTTCATTTAGTTTTAGTTATAGGTCTATAGTTCAGTTTTTCAGTTTTAGATACAAATTTCGCTAGTTTCACAAGCCAATTGCCAATAGGGTTGCACACTAATTCGATTTAGCTGAATACGGACTGGTGGAGCCAACTGAGGGCGGTGTGGGAGTGGCACCGCTACGTATACCATCGCCCTCACACACATATTTCCCTGCAAACAGCAACAAGATTAGTTTTTACTGCAAACAATGGCAAAGTCTTAAGCAGTAGTAATACACACCTGAAACGAAACGTCTTTTCACCAAGGACAAACGATAACCGCTGCCCTGAAGCTCAAACTCAATGCCCGACAAAGTCGTGCCCTCGCAATTGAACTGAGTGGCCAGCATCGCCGGCGTCGAGGGGCCATCGTTGAGTTCGAGGCGTGCACGGAGCGTACCAACACCGCCATCCTGCGAATTCTGTGAGATGTCCGTAAAATTCCATACCAAGCGATTCGATTCACCCAACCTAAAAACAGCAAAGATTATCATGAATAAGAGTAGCGCTTCAGTTGCACGGTTAACCAAGTCACTGCTTACCAGGATGAATGGGGCTTGGACTGAACATTGCGAACAGAACCATTGACCGGCACCGAGAGTGTCACATTCAGCAGCGGCGATGCACTGGCCATGGCATGATTATTGTACTTGTAGTCAACCTTGAGCGCCGTATAGCTGGGCTCGCATTTCCAGTAGCTGACCAGCTGGAAGGGGCACGAGCTGGCGCCAGGCTTCGTTCGCACCTGATACTTGAGTATGTCCACGTTAAAGTACGAGGCATTCGGATTATTCTCCGCCTGCCAGCGCAACAATGCAGTCAACGCGGGCATATTAAACTCCAGCATTGTGCTCAATGAGCTCGACTGTTGCCGATCTCTGCGAGTAGTCAGATAGAGAGTAATGTAGAGTTGGAATAAAGGCTCATTGATAATGGAGAGGAAAGGTTCACTTACATATGCACCAGTTTGCCATTGGGCACAAGACTCTCGAGATTTTGTACTTGCTTAATGCGAAAGCCCAGCTTGGCTGGATTTGGATTATTTGCTAGCAGACCGGCAATGCCGGCTGGGAATGATAGCATCATATCACCAGACACTTTCACCTGGCAACGCGACTCGTCGCTGCCTCTGAAATAGGCGTGTATTATCTCATGGAATGCCACCGCCAGCGGTATTGTGTCCGAAATCCCAATTGTCAGCGGTGACGGGCCACGCGATGAGCCCATGCCGCCAATGGCGGTGCGAAACTCCAGACTGCCAATGCTGTCCGCTCGATTCATTGCTGGCGCCGGACTCATGCGTCCACGTCCGAGACTTGTTGCGCCCCCAGCTGTAGCCGCTGCCGCTGCCGCACTGGTCGCTGCTGGACCAATGGCAATCATATCGGAGCGACGGGATGGGGGTCGTGGAATGGCAATGCTGCTGCCGCCGACAGCGGATGTGGGTGTGGGTATCTGACGACTAGGCGGTTTGCTCAACGTGGCCGATGCTGGCGCCGAGACGCTCATGTCACCCAACTCAGAGAATATATCGCCCAGATCCGCATAGCGATTGTGGTTTGCATTATTTGCATTGTTGTTGTTCGACAACGTCGGACTCTGCAGCGGCGCATATGGATGCACACTGGCCGTCGGCGTTGAAGCATTCGATATCTCTGGCGACTGTTGACGCGATGCAGCCGCACCGCCGCGTGCACCGCCCTGCAGCTGTTGGCTGTGATGCTGTGCATAAATTAAAAAATAAAGTTGCATTCAATTAAAAATATTGCTAACAGAGCCAATCATGATATACATAACTGTGGATCTTATTGGGCAGTCGCTGTTAAGATGTTAAAATTGAATAGTCACTGTTAAACTTGCCACACTGAAGTTAAGATAACATTATTTTAATAAGTAATGATTATTTGCTTAATGCTTAATCTCTTGAATATATACAAATTATAAACAAATATTATCTCTTCATTTTCTAACCAGAACAATTGCATACCAAAATGTAGACATGGACTTAACAACAATTGATATACGTGGTAACAGCACAGCTTAACAGCGATCTGCTTACAGAGCGAGCAATGTTATTATTATTATTATTATTACATACAGCAAAAACTCCCGTGGGTGACAGCGATATATTCTCAACGGTGGCCCGCAACTCATCCACACTCGCTGACATGGGCGCCTGTCCGTTGTTAAGTGGCTTAATCTTAACATGAATGCGTCGCTTGTCGTTATCCGAATCCGAGTCGGAGTCCGAGTAGAAGCTGCCAGCTGCTAAAGAAATCGAACTTTCAATATGCGCTGCAATGCTAAGAATTTTGTATTTAAAAGCTGAGCCTTACACTTGTCCTGGCTTTCCTCCCAGGCAATCTCCTTAGCTGGCTGTATGCTGAACCCTTCCTCGTCCACCTCGTAACCGCTACCGCTGGCATTGGCGCCACCAGCAGCAGCACCAGCAGCTGCGCCTGGTGCAGCTCCAGCAGTTGTTGTTGTGGTCGCTGGACCCACACCCGCAGTGCTGCTGCTTGCATTGGCCGCCAGGCCGCTACCACTGACACCAGCACCGACGCCTGCACCACCACTGCCGGCACCCATGCTGCTGGCGCCAGCGGAATCAACGCTGCCCTGGGCCGAGGTAGCAGACAGGGCAGCCAAGCCGCCACCTGCACTGCTGCCGCTCGAGTTTTGCGTCTTCATGCTGCGCCCATGATCATCATAGTCGAGTAATGTATTATTCGAGCGCTCCACGCTACAAGGATTAAAGATAAAATTCGAACAATTAGAATTGTTGGATTGTCGCATCCAGCAAAAGGTGTGCTAGACAGCTTACCTGGTCAGGCGCTCCTCCTGTATATTGTGATCGGCAGCCTCGTTGTCTTTCTTCTTTTTGGACTTTTTGGTTTTCGCCTTGTCGCGTCTACTACGCAAAATGCCCGAAACTGTTGAGAAACACGTTAAATATTTAAATAAATTAAAGTTGGATGCGCATAAATAATTGAAATCTTCACTTGATAAAGACAACAAGTTCTACAACAAACACTAAAAGCAAATACCAAAATCTACTTATCAAGCTACGCACTTTAACATCAAATTGATCGCTATTCAAATTGACTGAAATGTGGATCATTTGCAATTATAATTATAATAATAATAAGAAATAAATATATACATTTTACATTAACTTAGATAACATAATTTAACTGTAATCCAGAACCTAGCAGTAAACAATTAAAGCTTGTTATTAATTTTTAAAAATTTATAAACAAAATCAACTAAAATACATTTTAAAATTCTTAGCATTAAGAATGATATTCCAATTTCGGATAAATATATTATTTTAAATCCCATCTAATTGACTTCAATTTAAATATAACATGCAATAGTTAACACTGAACGTGGGGCAGTGTTAAAGTGCGTAGTGTTGGACAACAACATAATAGACAACTTAGCTAGATTACAGATTTTGAAGTGAACTCAAACACCGCCGTATAAAAGTGCAACAAATGGTTTAGTGAATTTGTTAGAAACTTTGTGAGATTTTGCAAACGAAAAAAAAAAGCCATGCGGAAAAAGCATTGAAATTTGTGCTTAATTTTAAATGTATATACATATATATATATATATATATTTATATAAATATATATATAAAGTAAAGTCATGTGTTTTGGGGGCGGGGGTTTGGTTGGAGCCAGGTTGGGTTTGGGTTTTACTTTCATATTTGGAATTTACCCTGAGAGTTTGATGTGAATATATTTAAAAGTGACGTTGTACGTCTGGACGTTGTTGCTGTTGTTGTTGTTGTGGCACCATTGTTGCCCACTGCAGTCTGTTGTTGTTGTGGTGGCTGATGATTTAGATGATCTTGCTCGTTTAATGATTTCGATAAATGTTGCTCGCTTGTCGTTGCATTCATTTGCTTTCTACCAGCTACGCTAGCAGTCGGTGTTAAGGCCTCATGCGGCTGTTGTTGTTCTGGATGTTGTTGTTGTTGCTGTTGCTGATCTAAAGTTTTAATTTGGATTAGTTGATCGGTGGTGCACGGTTGATCGAATGGATATTGTGAGTTCATTTGTGTGATCGGTGATGGCATAAAAAAAAACCGTGACACCGTTTGTGCAAAACGAAAGCGTTGAGAATACTGTTAGATGCAGTCATTAAAAACCTTTGTTAGTGTGTGCTCTTGTGTGTTGGAGTGTTTATGTGGGTGTGTGTGTGTGTGTTGTGGATGGGTTGGGTTAACATTTGGCATTTGGCTGGTGTTTGAGTGTTCATTTTGAAGGACATTACACATAAAACAATTATAAGCAATTATACAATTTATATACATAATAAGAACATAAATGTTGAAAAATGTTTAAAAATAAAAAAAAAAAAAGGAGAAAACTAATAGAAAAAGGCATAAAGTGTTATAGAAGTTATAGATTGACTTAGTGTTTGGCTTTTTACATTAGCAAAACCCAGATACAGGATAATAGTGAATAAACTATTATACAAAAAAAAATATTAAACTTCTTGCGACCGATTTAAATTTGGAAAGCCTAAAAAAAGTTTAAATCACAAGAAAGAATATTCGCAATATTTACAAGCGTAATAGTTAGTGGTAATACTCAATTGGGAACCATTAAGGAATAGCAAACAAATTGTGTAAACTTTGTATCCAGCCTTTAAAAACCCTATTTCAAATATTAAAAGCACTTTAAGAATAAGATACATTTTGTCAGATATAAAATACTAGTCGAGAAATTTATACTCTATTTTAGTTCATTGCTTACACCAACATTTTTGGCAAATTTTGATGGGACAAATTAAATGAAAAAGTTCTAAATTGCAGATGATTGCAGTAAGAATGCTTTTTAGTTATGCACTATGGAAGTGGTAAACACAAATGATAATTGTTTGTAGATAGTACAGAATAGAGGAGTAGTTACCAAAATAGTTTAAAAAAAAAAGAGTTCAAAATACAAATAAAAACGGAGAGAAACGCTTAACCATTTAAACAACGAAAATTATGGGAAACAAAAACAAATAATAATAGAATGAACCTTGATTACTAGTATCCAGAAGCTCTGAGTTAGGGGAATTTTTGGTGGTGACATTGGTGGTGAAATTAATCGTGCCAGTTGTTGTTGTTGTTGTTGTGTTGTTGGTGTTCAAATTGTCGCTTGTTGCTGTTGTGATGTTCGTGTTGCTGTAATTGTTGTTGTTGGAACTGTTGCTGTTGGCAGGCATACCGAAATTCCCAGGACTGGCGACTCCGACATTTTGTTGCTGCTGTTGTTGTTTGCTAGCCGTCGGCATAAACCAGGAGCGCAGACTCTTCACCGTTGACGTCGAAGCGCTTGTTGGCGGTGGTTGAGCGCCCAGCGTTTCCGGCGATGTGGGTCGCGGCGGTGAAGGAACACCACCACCACCCAGCATTGCATCATCCGCATAGGGTATGCTGCCACTGGCCGCACTGCCGCTACCCAGCGAAACGCCTGCAAGAGCATCGCCAGCACTGCCGCTACCACCACCACCACCGCCACGCTGATCCATCGATACCAGGCTGCCAGATGCAGCGGCAGCTGCTCCGCCCGAACGCAATGCCGCCTGTATACTGGCCGCCGAATTTGAATTCGATGCCTGCTGCGTCGGCTGCAGACGTGCTCCACTCGACAGTGATACAAACTCCAGTTCGAGCATTTCTGTGAAGGTAATTTAATTGGTTATTCACTTGCAACTTGCAATATATATTAATTAGTGTTCAATTTATCATTAATATTAATAACAACAGCGCATACGCACCAGGCTTCTCGAGGCCTGTGTATTTATTTAAGACGAATTGCTCGAGCAGCTTATCCACAGACATATCGACAAACTGACGCTTGAAGTCCGAGTGCACTTGTCCAACCATATCGTGATTGTTCTGTAGCATTTCCAAGTACGTAGATAGAAACTCCTTCATCTGGCGCAGATGCACCTCCTCGATCTCTTGAAAGCGCTGCTCAAATAAAAATCAACATATCTCTCGTTAATATCGTGCTTAATAAGAATGGAAATGAGTTTTCACGTTCACCTTGCAAGTTTGACTCATGCGTCGCTCGAACTCGTTCTTGATAGGATTGTGTTTGTCGAGCAACGCTTTGTAGTCCTCTTGGAGTTTCTTTAGTTTACTCTCCAGCTTCTCGGCATCCTTGTGCGAGCCGTTGTCCTTGCGCAGCTTCTCTAGCTCAACCACCTTGCTGGCATACAAATCGCGTAGCTTTTGCACAGCCACCGTTGATGTTTGTATGGCTTGAACGCATTCCAACGTCTGGGACTCCTCTTCTTTAACGCACTTGTGCTTCTTGTGCAGCTCATCGGCATATTTGGCCACATCCTTGACCAGCTCAGTCAACTTCTGCACCATTTGCATGTGCAGCGTGGACAGCTTCTCGGCCGAGGTGCGCAATATGGTCCAAACGGGCGCAAATGTGCTGTTCAATGTGCCCGTACTGGCCTTGTGCGCCAGCTTCGACATCATTTTCGAGTTTTGCTCCTCAATGTTCGACTTCTCGCGCAGAAACTCGGAGAGCTCCTTGCTGGCCACCAGACCAAATTTCATATTGTGATAGAGCACATCGAACCCATTGTTCTTCTCCCCCTGCAAATGAGTGTGGATGATAATGAATGGAGTTGAACATTGGAATCTATTGAGATTGATTGACTTACCCAAAAGTAATCATTAAAGTCCACCGTCATTTTGAGTGCTTTCTTAAATTCTACGTCTTTAAAAAAATCAATGCCAAAATCGCGCTTCGCTGCGATTTACTTTATATATTATTGTTGTTGTTCTTATTGTGGTTCTTTGCCTTTGGCTTTGTTGTTGTTGTTGTTGTTGTTGTTGTTGTTATTGTTATTATTATTATTCGTCGTCTTCGTGGCTAAATAATTGACTTGGTTTCCCAACTCCAATACTCCCTACTGGCTCAACCGCGTGCACAATGTCAAATCGGTGACTGGGCTGCTGACCATCATCATTGCGATTGTCATTGTCAGTATCTGTATCTGAATCGAGGACCTCAGCACGATTTTGACGCATTGGTTTCAATCTCCTTTGGCACACCGCCTGATTGGCTGCTACTGCAATTACAAATATTAACTAAATTAAATGATCATCTTTTCAAGAATGTTATTGAATTTATGAACTATAAAATTAACGACAATACGAACATTTAATTATAAAATTGGAATGTCAAATATAACATAGTATAAAACTAACTTTTATAATTGATTCCAACTTTTTATTGAGTTCCGCATTAAGGTAAATATTATTTCGCGATGTACAATTTTGTGTACATCAAAAATGCGACATTTTATTGTATGGTATATTGCATTTATTTGAAATTTGAACTTAATCTATATATAGCATCATTTCAATGCCTTGACAAAATCTTCGTTTGAATACATAATGAATGAAATGAATAATGAAAATAGAAGCACGCATCATCTACAGCTCGGCTTGGATCTTGGCCATTTCGAGATCGATGCGTTCATTCAGCGCCCGGGTCAAAATGGTGCAACAATCCTTGATGGCATGATAGATGATATTCTTAATCTGTAGCTTGTCCTCGTGATTGGTGTGCGAGTGCGAGAGGCGTCGGAACTCGTGCGTCAGATGGTAGCAGTGCGTAATATTCTCCGGCGACACAAAATCCTCGGCCACCTTGATGCAATTGTGCAGGTTCTGGACCTGATGCGGTGCACCCGCCGGTATGAAGACCGCATCTCCCAGGCACTGAACAATCGGATAGCCCTCAACGCCATATTCCTTAAAGAGACGCGCTCGCAACTTGTCATCGAGATACCAGTTCTGATCGTGTATGGGATCGTGATCAGGCTCCAGCCGAAAGCCCTTCTCCAGCGTCACACGATTAAGCAGATCGCGTATCTTGTCCGCATCCCGTGCCGGGAATATGTGCCACAATGCACCCGGCAGCACGTCCGGCAATTGGCAGCGTGCCCGGGTGATGTAATCACAGCCACCCAATGCAATTGCACGCTGTGTGGCCGCCAATTGTGGCTTGCTGTCCTCGTCTGTGGGTATACCCACATACACCATTATATTGACGGCATCCGAAATGTCTAGATGCAAATTGGTGGTGCCCTTGTCCGGATGCAATGCCGAACCGTAAGCATTATACATCTTCGGTCCCAAATCGGGCGGCACAAACATTTTGGGCAAACAGCTGGCTATGTTCAGATTACCGGTGCGTAGCGTATATTCCGGCATGGGTAATCCTCGCATCAGATCCGCAAAACGTGTGGGCAAAATCTCAGCAAAGTCATCGCCCGGTGGCCAATCCTTGAGCTTGAGCAGCATCGGTTTCCCATTCACATCGAGCAGACGCTTGTGCATGCACTGGAAACCCTCCCAAAAATGACGCATCGGCTGATTGGGCACCAGATTGCCATTGAGACAGTTAATCAAATCATTAGGCTTATCGCCGAAATCACTGCAGAACGCCTGCGGATGCCAAAGGTCCAGGTTGAGGGAACGTGCCACTTCCGAAATCATGACAGGCTGTCCACATTTCCACACCTCCTGGTACAGTACTCGATTGTCGGGATGCATGGGATCCGTGAGACGCAACAATTTGCCATCGCAGAGCCACTCATGTGGCACGCCCGGCGCCAGCTGTGTGGAGTGGGCCAGCGTCATGGCGCGCGGCGGTAGAAAGCGTCGCAATCCGGCGAGTCCTTTGCGCAAAAAATTGATATGCTTGAAATTGTCAAAGGCGCTCGTTATTGGATCCTTGCCAAGTGTCTCCTTTGTCCAGACACGTCCCGGCACATAGTCGATGCCATTTTTGCGCGCAAATTCCAATTTCTTGGCATGCAACTGCTCGAGACGCTGCTGCTGCTGCACCTTCTGTGCGGTGGCCAGCGAGGAGGCGCTCGTCTGTTGCTTCAGTTGCGACTCCTTGATCATATCCTGTATGAGCTGGGTCAGCTGTTCATCGCTCACCTGCTGTTTGCTCAGCAAACAGCCACACACCTGCGGCACCTGCCACAACGTACGCACCTCGTGCAACAGCCGTCCGAGCACATTTAACGCATCTCCCGCTATGATCTGCGTCAACATCAGCTCGGGCAACGTGTGCTGCTGCTGTTGCTCCTCCTTCTGTTTATCATCGGTGCACAGCAGCCAGTGGTATTCGTCATGTCCACGCTGTGCCTCGCCCACACGTCGTCTATTATTCTGTAGGCCCTCCTTGCGATCCTTGAAGCAATCGATGCATACACCAAAGCCACACTTGCGGCAAGTCCAATGGTAATTGAAGAGCGTCGTATCGCATACATCGCATATTTCCCGTGTGCCCTGGACAGCCTTCTTCCATGCAATTGTCCCATCCGGATTCTGGTGAAGTTTCAGTGCTTCCGCCTCCTGTCGCCACAGATAACAGAATTGATCGCCGGCATGCAACAGTATATAGCGGCACACCTGTATATCCATAAAGCCAGCGGTGGGCGCAGTCTTCTCGTCCGGCTGCCAAATGGTGTAATCGATGCTAGTTGGCTCCTTGTACGGATTGGGAAAGCCGGCAACCCTCAATTCGCCAGCTGCATTATATTGCAGGCGTCGAAACTCATAGAAGCGACAGTAGATATCATTGTTGCTGCTGCTGTTACTGCTACTGCTGATGTTATTGCCAATGCTGCTGTTGATGTTGCTGCCACTATCATTGCTGCTGCTGCTGCCCGTTGCATGACGACGTCGACATTCGCGACAATTGGTTATCGATTGCTGCAGCTTGAAGCATGGCAAATGCTGCAAGAATATCGAGCAGCTGGCTCTGTTATCGTTATCGCGCTGTTGCTCCTCAACGTTCAGCCCGATAACATTGTCCGGCTGCTGTTGCTGCTGCTGTTCCATCTCTGTTTGTGACTCTGTTTCCAAGTTGGCGCGTTTGCTGTTGCTGCTGCTGCTGCTGTTCAACGTTGTCTCATTCGATATGTGTATCTCGATTATCGATTTGGGCTCCGATCGTGATGTAAGCGACAAAGACCGCTTGCGACCATTGTCAGAACTATTTATTGCCGGCATTGCCAGATTGACATTAGCTGTTGCTGTTGCTGGCTGCGACATTGGACTGTGCACGCGGGTGTTTGTGTGAGAGAGGAGAGAGAAGAGAGAGAGAGAGAGAAAATGCATAATATGAACATCTCATAATTAGGCAGCTTATCACAATTTTTCATTTGTAGCCGGCTTTACTTTGTACTTGGTAATATGCTTGTTTGATTGAATAATTAATTAATTATTCTGCTGCTTGCCGCTGCTGCTGTTGTTGTTCTTCTTGTTTTTGTCATATCGTTATCAATAACTTTTATGCTGAGCAGCTTCATTTATCATACATACAAATTTGTTGGAATGCATGTTCTTTATTATTTACTTGCATTTTTCATTCGAAAGAAAATGGGCAGTTAATATTTGTGGTAATGCCTCCATTATTATTACCTGGCACAGATAAAAACCGTTTACAAAAATACACTCAGTACAATCGCGCAAGATAACAAGAAACAATATACGCAAAAGGTCAAAGACTCGACGACCGATTGATAATTTGTCATTAATTGAAATGGGCGTTGATATTGGACACGGGCCTGATAAGCGTTATAAAATAATGCAAACACCCCCAATAAAATACCGATTGAATTAGACATAAATATACATATAAATTTACTCGAGTGTTAATACTTTGTTGATAACAATAAGCTTACTACTGTGCTATTATCATTAACCGAATGCTATTTTTAGGCAACACTTGCTAATTGCAAAAGTTTTCTTCCCCATTAAACCAATGTCGTTTTATGCATCTTTACATATGAATGTAACGGTATATATTTTCATACATATATATAACTGCACTGTTATGAAGAATACTCCCCCTCTTCCCATTTCTAATGCAAGCAGCAACAAGTGTCAACAGTGTCACTTGCCGCATATCGATAGATTCTTCTTTGTTGTGTATCGATTAGTTAAAAAGGAGATGCGGGTCAGGCTTTTGAACTTTTAGCTTTATAGCTTTTAGTTATATAAATAAAGCTGGCAAGCAAAAGAAAATAGCAATAATTTTTCATACACGCACAGAACCCACAAATTAACCTTGGCTGACATAGCACACTCACACATTCACACACAAACACACGCACGCATACGCCCTTGTGGCAGTTGCGATAATGTTTTGGGCGTGAACCGTAGCGAAGCCGCTGCTGCTGTCCGTCTTCTTATCGATGTTTTTGGCACACACACACAGATGAGAAGCAGAAAATAAAGAGGTATTCAAAAACAGACGAACATTGCCAAGCTCAGCCTGCATTCTACAACGAAGTTGTATTCTTTCTGCGAATTGATGAATCAATTCACTTGCTGTACACTATTTTTCTGACCTTTCCAATTAATTGCGTTACTGGAGCACGCAATTGTTCTTCAATCAAAAAATAAGAGAAACAGATAAGCGTACTTTCAATTATATGTGCATGTATGTACAAGATGCACTAACGCACATATAAATAAGTATCCAGCAAAAGTACGTTTTGGTCGCACAGCAACACTGACGCGTTGCGATATCTTTAAGCATTATGTTTTATCACGGGTATTACAAAACCTGCAGCAGTTACGCCCATAAAAGTAGCGAGCATAATACAAATGGCTGACTCCAGCTGATTTGTACCAATTTGGAGCTAACAGCACGACAACACTGACGAGGGATTACTACATCGCCGACTCGCTCGCTCCTCTCTCTCTTTCTGTATTAACGTTTTGTTTTATCAATGAATGAGTTCAATTTATTTTTTGCATAACCAATTCCACATTACACGCGAATTAATTCAGGGTTGCTTTAAACACGAATAGTTGCAGTTCAGATAAGGTGAAGCTCTGTAGAATTTTTATCACCTCAAATTGTGTACTTAATATAACAAACACAGAAATCCATACAAATACATTCCCCACACATCCACATACATACACACACATAGACGCCGTTGTAGCGTTCCTGCATACCAAGTACACACATATAGGCATATGTGTATAGACATATTTACATATGCATGTATATATGGAACCGAATTAATCCAGCAATTTTTCACACAGTAATTAGCATACTTTTGACAGCAGTATCAACTTACATTTTATTGTTGTATGTTGCCAGCACACTTGCACAATCGTTTTATAATATTTGGCATTTAAAATTCCAACTTGTTTTATGTATAATGTTAATTTTCGCCACCAACGCGCACAATTCACATACACTCACATAGCAGAACGCGTCGTACTTCTTACTGTCTAGTGATGTGCCAACATCGATTAATAGCGAACAAGTGTTGAACAATGTGCAGTGCTCAGTAATTTGCATTCCCCTTAATTAAAGAAAAGCATTAACAAAATAATACTAGCAAAATGAACTATATGTACATAAAATGTATAGATAAATGCCCATTTATGCAATAAGTAATTGTTTTAGATTGAAGAGTCACTTATAGTTTTTAATTAACAGATTTTGTACGCCCCTATAATACTAGATTTTAGCTGGGTGTGTTAACACCACATATTAACAATATCGATAACTAAATTCTCAAAATCAACGTGCATCGCATTGAGACCACGCACATCACTAACCGCCAGTCAGCTGTGGCTGCCTTTAATTGGAAAAAATGTCTTCAACATTAATTAAATGTTTTAATTTGGCAAAAACTGTGGGCACAGTTACTTTCAAGAGTTTGCTAACGACGTCTCAAAACCAATTACCAGCATGGAGGTAAGTCTGAAAGCTGACAACAAACTATCCAAGCAAATGTCGTCTATCGACTCGTGTTTTGTTTTGGTTTACATAATCCACAGACCGGCAGTAGTTGGAGGTGTCCTGAAATGCGGCTTGCATACGACGCAATGCGCGCGACAGGAGCGCAAGGAACCACTCATGGAGTTCTTTGACAATCCAAAGCATTGGAGCGAGAACGAAGTGAAAGTGGGACGTGCCTGGAAACTGGATGAATTGCGCATCAAGTCCAATAAGGATCTGCATCAGCTGTGGTACATTCTGCTCAAGGAGCGTAACATGCTGTACACAATGGAGCACGAGTGCAACGACAAAATGGAAATCTTTCCCAATCCCGAGCGCATCGATAAGGTCAAGATATCCATGGAGAATCTGGAGACAGTTGTCCGCGAGCGAAACAAAGCCTATCATTTGCTGGAAACTGGCGAAACGGGCGAACGTCCCCAAAAGCTGGTGCACAACGCCTTCGGCCTCCGCTGTACCTACAGATCCTGTGAGCATGTCCTGCCGCCCTTCATGAACACCAAATGGATTAAGTCGCGTCATCTCGGCTTCGGCGGACGCGCTGTTCACAAATTTCTGCTGCAATATCGCGAGAAGCTTTACAATGCCAAACGCAAAGCCAAAAAGTAAGTATCAATCATATAAATAAGTCGACAAAACCATAGAACCCAATGAGGAAGTCAACTTCGATTTTAAAAAGGTGTTGATTTTAAGCTGCAAGTTTGTTTCATATATTATTTACTTTAGTCGCTCACGCAACGAGGTCATGATGATCCTACGGCGTAATCCCAATTTCGACCTGGAGCTGTTGAAGCGCAAATTCCCCGATGTGGAGATCGACAAGCTACGCCACAGCGATAAGGCGCGCGGCCATTTCGTGCCGAAAGTGGATGGCTAAGGATCATTTATTGTGCTGGTCCACCTACTGTTAAAAGTAAAAGTAACCTTAATATACATTTTAATCATCATCGAATTTTATTTTGGTGCCTGCAAAAGCGGCGATCTTCGGCTTCAGTCGCTGCTTGGCTATCCACGATGGATGCATGCCCGCTGCACTCTCCTCCTTGCCAGCAGATGGAGCTGCTATCGTTGTTTCTGCTGCGTTGCCATCATCGCTGAACTTTGTTTTCGTTCCCTTGAAGCTGGTTATAATTGGTTTCTGTTGCTCCTTGGCTAGCCAAGAGGGATGTCTGTCATTATGCGGACGTCTCTCATTGTATTCCTGCCTTTTGATCGGCGGCTTGCGTGTTCGCTGCGCCATGTGATTATCATCATCTGCATCGGATTCATTATGACTATCACCGGAGAGCACAACGGCAGTCGATAAATATGGCTGACCCGATTCCGTAATGAAAAACGGATCGACCACATATGTGGGTCTCTGCTTATCCTCTTGCTTCGGCCTTTTGGATTTATTATTATTAAGCCCTTGTTGTGGATTGTCTTCTTGGGGCTTATCATTACTCTCCCGCTGCGTTGATCCTCCCCACCTGTCTGGTCTGGCTTTTTTGGTCTTTTCATTAAACTCCCTTTGTACTTTGGGTTTTTGATTGATCTCCCTTTGCTTTTGCTGGGGTTTTTGATTGATGTCCATTTGCTGCTGCTGCACTCCCACATTGGGCTTTTGATTGATCCCTCCGTGCTTTGTGTCAGTTTTAGGTTTCTTCGATTTATCCTGCACTGTTTGCTGTTTCTCCAATTTGTCTGGCTTGCTGCCGGTTGGCTTCTCATCATTTATTTCTGGCTGTGGGGTTTCCAACACTTCCGATGTTATGACATCCGCCGATGGCTTGTGTTCATTCAACCATTCCAGTCTATTGCGGTTCAGCGCCTTCTGCTCCTTGAGCTCTTTGCGTCTGCGGCGCTTCTCCTCGGTCCGATCTAGTTTGATGCGCCGCTTGCTCGTCTCCAATATATCCGTACGCCATTTGGCATCGGGGTCTGCGCTCAGCTTCAAGTTCTCACGAAATTTGGCTACCAATTGTTGCATCTTTTTGTTGAGAGCCAACATGGCAATCGCCTTTTCATCAGGTGTTGCGCGTCCATTCGTCAGCACAGCATTGTGTCTATTATCTAGCAGCAATAGCGAACGCATCAGCTCTGCACGCTTGAGCGCCTTCAACTGTGCCATGCACTCCACATTCCTTCGTAGTCGCTCCTTGTGCTTGACATTCTCCGGCTGCTTCTGCAGTGCCTCCTTCAATTTGCGCAACTTTTGCACCAGCTTCGCAATTGTTTGCGAGCGCGCTTGTTGGATGATCTTCTTGTTGGTAATCACCTAATTGACAAATATTAGTCATTGTCCGTATGTAGAAATAGCATGTTTCACTTACCAAATTGTTAAATTCTAATTTATTAAGCATTGTATTTTTGTACTGGTCAAAACATGCTGCTTTTGCTTCTGGACATGTTTTTACTATCGCATCCAACGCATAACTATCGTTAAATCTGTTAACGATGTACAATTTTAAGCAGCCCCACACTCTATCGATAGGTTCTTAAAAATTATGCGCGATACTTAATCGCATTTTGTACAGTAATTTCATTTGTAATATGAACTCATTAGGTATGTTTATTTCTCTATTTCGACACAGCAGTTTTGTATGGAGGCGAATGATATTGACAATAAAGCAATTTGCATTTCGATTTTATTTCGGTTAACTTGTATGGCAAGTTGGTGTCAGTGATGCACAACAGTCTGTAATATCCGAAATTAACCAACACTTACAAAATACGGCAATATAAAAAATTCTTTCTACAAGAAAACATAAACTCGTAGACTATCGTTAATCTAAAATTATTAAATAAGGCATTACGAAAACGCAAAAGTTGTTGCACCGTGCACAAGTTGAAAGTTAACGCCGTGTTCGCTTAGACTGACGTAAGACGAAAAAAAATAAAACAAGGAGGAGCCAATTTAAGCGACAGCAACAAAGAAGGTCCGGCAGCATACATACACACACACTTGCACACTCACGCACAAGTGCACACACACATACATGCATGCACACAAATACATGCATAGATAAGCCAGCAGTAGCAAGCTTCATGTCGGCAAAAAGGCAAAAACAATAATGTTCATCAAATATATGCAATAACTGTCGACATGCCTGTCGGCTGCTTGAATTGTGTAATTGACCGAATTGCAGCAGATATATATTAGCTCGCGATGAGTGTCTGTGCAACGCTTGAGTCATTGTCATCTCATTCTCTCGCGCTTCCCCGTTGTATGCCTGCGTGCAAGTGTTCGTGATTGTGTGCGTGCGTGCGTGTGTATGTGAGCGGCAACGAAAAAGTACAAAAAGCCTGCAGTCAAAGCGACTCTGACTCACATTAATTTATGCCTAATTATGAGCTTTATTCATTTTAATCATTTTTAATTAAAAATAATTTGTCTACAGCTCTCCTTTATTTGCAGTCGCCACAATCTTCAGTTGCAGCTCTCATTTTGAATTGGGCGAGGAACATACACACACTCAGACACAAACACACACACACACACACCAATACTAACACTAACACATATACACACCTACACAAAAACACGCCCACACACACAAACAAAGATTGACAACACTTTGCGTGGACTGCAATTGTAAACATCGAGAGCGAGAATCAGTACGGCTAACAGAACGAAGCCAAATGACGGAATACAAGCTAGTTGTTGTTGGTGCCGGTGGCGTTGGCAAATCAGCTCTAACCATACAACTAATCCAAAATCATTTCGTTGATGAATACGATCCCACAATCGAGGACTCATATCGAAAGCAAGTCGTTATTGGTGCGTATAAAAATGATATTGATATTGATTATTTTATTTATGATATTTATTTTGAATGTAATCAATATATAAATAACTAAATATTTATTTATTTTTTTGGCAGATGGTGAGACGTGCTTGCTGGATATTCTTGATACTGCCGGCCAAGAAGAATATTCCGCCATGCGTGATCAGTATATGCGAACCGGTGAGGGTTTTCTTCTGGTGTTTGCCGTGAACAGTGCTAAATCCTTTGAAGATATTGGCACATATCGCGAGCAAATCAAACGTGTCAAGGATGCCGAAGAGGTGCCGATGGTGCTTGTGGGCAATAAATGTGATCTGCCATCGTGGAACGTGCAAAACGAGCAAGCACGTGAGGTAAACATATAGATTGGCATATATAGCATATCTATAAGTAATACCATCTAATTAATATATATATTGAAATGTTCACTTTCAGGTTGCCAAGCAATATGGCATTCCATACATTGAAACATCAGCGAAGACGCGCATGGGAGTTGATGATGCATTTTACACACTGGTGCGCGAGATACGCAAGGATAAGGATAACAAGGGACGAAAAGGACGCAAAACGAATAAGCCGAATCGTAGATTTAAATGTAAAATGCTTTAAATGGATTCACGCACTGGTTTTTTTTGTCATGTCATTATTCGCCTGTCCGGTATGTGTGTGCTTGTCTGTTTGTCTGTGTGTGTTGGTGTGTATGTGTGTGTTAGTGTGTGTGCCAGGTTGTTGGGAGAATGGTCGGCAATCGAATGCAGTAGCTTATATAGATTCGTTTGTGGTATTTTGCATTTGCGACTCTTAGTTTACGCACAAATACAAATTCACGCACACACTACCCACATCTACCCACAAACACTCACGCACACACCCACACACACACACACACGCACGCAGAGAGAAGTGCGCGTGTTTAGTTTGGTGCAATTGTTGGGAGGAAGAACAAAATTGTAATTAATTTAAGCGAACTAAAGTTTTATTATGTATGTCAAATCATTTTTGTGCAACATGTGTGTCGTTTGAAAATGCTTTATGGCGCCCATTTTAAGATTATTAACTATGCGTGTGTATACCGTATACATGTGTAAATAACTATGAATACTATTTGTAAACTGCCTTGGTTAAGCTGCTGCGACAGCGCATTTTGATAACCATTTGTTTTTTTTTCTTTCATTTTTTTAGTGAGCACGAAACTAAAAATAACTAAAACTATGTTATTCGCGTGTGTGTGTGTGTGAGTATATCGTGCTTCAAAACGATCTTTGTATGTAAATCAAATAATTAGTTTTCAGTCCCTTTTTTCTTTACTATTACTGATAGGCTTTACAGTCAATGCTTAACAGTTCGTTGCATTTTTTCGGAGCTATATATATATATATATATATATATATGGCCAGTTGCGTTTGATTTCGTTACCTCCTTCATACACACGCACACACACACATACACACACGCACAAGCAGAATTCCATTAGAAATTTCCACAAGCAAAAAAAAAATGAAGAAAAAAAGCAAAATATAAATGCAAAATTAACGAAAAGAAGCTCACTGTTATTATCGTTTATGTGGTGCTAAATTGAGAAAATCAACAACAGATAACAGCACAAAATATTGTATGACTTATTATATGGAAATCGACATTTTTATTTTTATCTATTTATCTTACTGACAGATCGAACAGTTAACTAGCTTATGCGAAACTCTATTTTTGAATTGAATTGAGAATTAAAAGCAAACAGAATCGTGTCTATTAATACGTATATGTATATACATACATATAATTACAATGACCTTATGCACCTAACTCACATATATCATTTTCCAATTTATGATTAAAGAGCTTCGCATAAGCCAGATCCATACATAGTACATATATATAGCAGATGGATGCTGCATTAAACAACAAGCAGCCAATTACATATACAAATATAGTTTGCTTTAAGCTTTTTATACATACATAAATTAATATTTAATTTTTTTTGTATTCATTTTTGCCATACAAAAAGGAAAGTAATAAATCAATTGTGTGTACTATTTATATATACTTTGTAACGAATCAGTTATTCCTTCTCGCAAACATCAATTGTAGTTACGAAATAAAATTTATAACTAATTTACAGAAACAATTTCTCGCTTAACGATTAACTTGCTTCGGCACTTCTCTATCTCGTCCATGTCTTGCCAATCGCCAAATTTTGGAGAAGTGTATTCATCAAACGGTGCATTGGTCATATATAAAATTGCATCGGCAGGCAGACAATATTGGGGCTGTAATATTTTTGGTAGCATCAGACGGACCTGCATTTGATAGTCGGAAGGATTGTCTTTGAATGATAATGGCAGGCGATCTTTCATCGAAGCTGCTATTGGAAGATCGATCCTAAAAAGCATGAAAATCGATAGGGCAAATAAGCAAATTCGACAAATAATTATATTTAAAGATCAATTGAAACTTTACTACCTGTTTTCATATCTAATAGCCAGTCTGTGCAGAATCAACTGGCAAAAAATCACTGTCTGTGAATTTGTCGATATCAACTCATCAGAAAGGCGCTGGAAGACTTTCTGCAAATGCTCCAATCTTAAGGTCTCCCAATTGAACATACAATACAAGTGCACAACAGATATAAGTGACTCCTGTTGATTAGGTTGAAAGCTGGCTAACCTATCAATTTTCTCCAGTAACAGCTCGAAATTTGGCAACAGTTTTGCGACCAGACATTCATAAAAATATCGAATATTTAATTGGTTATTGGGAGCTAACAGGGCTGTCCACAGATTCTCAGACCAATAGTTTGGCAAACTTGCACCTGCAAATTCGAAATGGAAAAATGTTCTCGCAATCCGCATTTGAATCCTGTGATCTATCGAATTTTCCAACAACGTCTCCTTTTCATTAATACTCTCATTGATGCTCAGCAGTTCATTAAACAGTTCATATAGGTCCTCTTTGGCCATTCTGGAGACATAAGTGATATAATTCTCTCGCTTAATATGATCTGACACGTTCCAGGTCGATAAGCTGTTTAGATATGCATGCTCAATGCTTTCAATAAAAAAATTAAACAAAGTAATATTAATTAAATACAATACCAAATGCAAACTTACCGCCTTACCCCCAACGAGATATCAGAATGTAGTAAGCCTTTTATTATCGTAGATTGTGGCAAGGACTTTGTCATTAGAATTTGCCCAAGTTCCCAAACGTCATTACAATTGGAAATCATGTCTTCAATTAAATTTTTCGTTTCATTTAAGTCAAGATGCTGTGTTGCATATTTTAAAATATTTCCAGTGCTTTGCAAATACAAATTAAATATGATCGTTTGAATTATTGGTAGAATTGAATTACTTACGTTGTCCAACGTTTTGGATAGGTCCTTAAAACCATTAAAAGAGTATTGAGCACTTTCGCGTCCTGCAGCGGTTGGTCGTGTCCTCCAAGTAGATTTGTTAGGTGTACTAATGTGTTGAGTGTGCAATTCCTTATTATTTCAATTAGATTCAAATGGAACCCTTCGAGTTGACTCCAATTGTGTACATTATTTGTTAAAAATAAATCCACACTTCGCTGTTGCACAAACAAGATTTCTTCCTCAGTATTACAGTTTAGTTTATCAATTAAATATATATGCAGCTCTGTAGGCTGCCGGCACTCTTTAACTACGTTGATATTTATGTCATACATAGAACGGTAGAAATCAATGGCGTGATCTTCCCAGCATAGACAAAAGAAAGCCGGAAGACGCCACCATCCATGTTGTGATTTTGGAACATGCTCGAGTTGCTCCAGGAGTACCCGAAATGGATGCAACACATTCGAAGTCTGATAATTGCATAGCATTTCATATGCACTTTTTGTGAGATGAACCATTTCTTTATTTATGTTATTGCAATCCTCAATTACATATGAAAGCAAATAAAATGCGAATTCGCAAACATCATCGCTTTTGTTAAAAAGCGCCGCTATAAATGACATGTAATCGCCTAAAGACAAATGCTTGATGGTGACCTGAAACGGAATCAGATGATGATCTTCCAATATTTGGCTTTCAATTTATTTAACTCACCTCAAAAAGCTCACAGATTCGATTGCAGGCACTGTTTCGTAAATCCAAGTGTTCAAAATTTCGCACAAGTGTACAAATTTTTAGCAGAAGATTTTTAGAGATTTGTGGCTGCTTTTTGATCCCAAGGCAACTCAACCAGTGGTGCAGAGCAACACCACACCATTCCACTTCAGCAAGCGCCTTCACAAACTGCTTACCGATTATGTCAGAAACAAATTTCTTCATTTGCTCTTCGGGCAGAAAATAACCTTCCAAGTTGTGCAGCTCCGGTTTGTTGGTAGCTGTTAGGAACTCTATCAGCAAATGGGCACTAAAGAGTTCAGCTACAGTAAAGTGTGCCATCATGAATTCGAGGGTCGAGGTCCGCTCTTCAAGGTTTGGATTCTGTAACAATTTGGTGTACAAAATGTGCAACCAATTTGCATCATTACTTTCGTCTTTTAGGAGCGATAACTGAATTCCAATTGGCGCTGGCTTTTGCGTAGATGCCTTTACTTCCAGGCTCTCCATTATTATGATATAGGAGAATAAATCCAGCTGCTGTTGACCATTGGATTTATGTAAGCTCTTGTCGAGTATCATTTCATAAATTAAACGTGCAGATCTACGCTCCTCGGAAACCGTCGACTTTAATAGTTGCTCAATGCGTTTGAACAGTTTGTGCGACAAGATGCATTCTGCTCCCAATTCGCACAGAAAATTGTCCATGACCTGTGCGAGTGTTTGGCCATCTTCTGCCTGACTGTTGTCATTAGAACTTCTTGGGCAGAGCTGATTCAGTAGAAACTTGCCCTTTTCTGGTATGTTGTTCGTCCATAATGCCACACACAAAAGTACGTCAGTCACAAGTTTGGCATTGTGGATATTCAATATTTCATACTCGCATGTTGTGGGAATTATCAGAGCAAACAGCTTTTTAATTAATTTCAACGATAACTCATGATATTCACCGTTTCTGTTCCCGTATATTAAGCCGAAGGTGAATTGCAGAACACGACTTACGCTCAGCTCATTGGCAATATCCAATGAATCGAGCAGAATATCTAGCAATTCGTCGATCCTTGCGGCTACCAAAGATTCAGCAGATTCTTCTAATGACATATTGGTAGTAAAAACAGACCGCTAAATACAATTTTTTTTTAAACAAACAGCTGTTTCTGTGAATTCGCCAGTGTGACCAAATCAATTACACACAAAAAAAAATTAACAAACATTAATTTTACTTTTAGATTATATTTCATATGTATATGTTTTTTTCTTCGTTTTTCACGATTGGAATTTGTTTCGCCAATGGGCTGGCGATCGTATCTGCAAATTGCAGAAAAAAACTACAAACTTTAATTCTTATTCTTCATAAATGTTGAGCATTGAATTGCAAAATGTGGCGCAACTAATGTGAATATTCACTTGACGCCGATTTCAACTAATCTGCAATTCCCGGCAAATAGCCAACAACATTTATTTGACTTGCATGGACGTGTTTTTATCATAATGACGTCAGCGTGTGCGCTTATCTAAGCACTTATCAGGCTTATGTTTTTGGTTCTTCTTTGAACTAACCTCAAATGGTTAAAGAAGAACTGACAACAAACAGAAATTCGAATTTTTGGAAAGCACTTCAAGCTGACTAAGAACATGATGGAATGGGTTTTCTGTGATTCTAATCCGAAACTTCCTATAATTACTGGACTGGCTTTTCAGTTTTCATGCAAATATAAAGCACTTCGTTGTTGTTTTGCATATTTGTAGGTGATAATCACAATCAACCCGTCCCAATTACTGCTAAGCAGGTTTCGCCTAGAAATTTCTAGGAATTCTTAAGCCCTTATTAATATTTTATATAACAGTAAATATTCCAATTATTTAGGACCACAAGATAATAAAGATTTTACCTGTATACGGTCGAATTCAATGTATTTAAATACGTTTTAGTACCGACTAATAAACTGCTGCTTTATGGCATTTGTCAGCTCCACAATATATTTTAATTGTTTATTTATTTTCTTTTTTTTTGCATTGTCAGTAAAAATATTAATCATGGCGTAAACATATTTCGGGTTAGCTGTATTACCATTATACCGCATTTTGGCTGAGTGGCACAAGTCATACAAGATTCGAATTACAAGTTTAATATACATTCTCTCATCAGGTTTCTGCAGCGGCTTTAAATACAGCCGCCTCACAATGCTCTCGGTATTTGGCTGCCAACTTCGCCGTGATGAGCATCAAGTTCACTGTGAATGGGTTTCCATACGAGGTGCAGTCAGCTGACTACGCCCCAGACATCACGCTGAACACATTTCTCAGGGAGCATCTCCACCTGACGGCCACCAAGTACATGTGCCTGGAGGGCGGCTGTGGCTCCTGCATTTGTGTCATACGACGTCGGCATCCCATCACAAATGAAATTAATTCCCGAGCTGCCAACTCGGTAACAAGCAAATATAGACCAAAAAAGGATTCGTAGGTAGCCTCATATTCATATGTATTGATTCCTTTCCAGTGCCTTACCCTGCTGAACAGTTGCAACGATGTGGACATTGTCACCGACGAGGGCCTGGGCAACAAGAGCAGCGGCTATCATCCTATTCAGAAGCGCCTGGCCAAGCTCAATGGCACCCAGTGTGGCTACTGCTCACCGGGATTCGTGATGAACATGTACGGGTTGCTGGAGGCTCAGGCGGGTCAAGTTACTATGAGTGAGGTGGAGGATGCATTTGGGGGCAACATCTGCCGCTGCACTGGCTACCGACCCATACTGGATGCCATGAAGTCCTTTGCAGTGGACAGCAATATTGAAGTGCCAGCGGAGTGTCTAGATATAGAGGACTCCTTTGAGCTGCTCTGCCCACGCACCGGTCAATGCTGCAGCGGCAGTTGCTCCCGCCTCTCGCTGCCATCCCAGAACAACAGCCATTGGCATTGGCCCAAGACACTAGGAGAGTTGTTCCAGGCACTCGCCCAGGTGCCCACTGGAGAAGATTACATTATGGTGGCAGGCAACACGGCGCATGGCGTGTATAGGCGGGCAAGGAGTGTACGACACTTTATTGATGTCAACATGGTGCCCGATCTGAAGCAGCACAGCATCGATACAGATGAAATGCTGCTGGGTGCCAATCTGACCCTCACGGATGCGATGCAGATCTTTCGACAGGCCCAGCAGCGCAACGGCTTCGAGTACTGCGCACAATTGTGGCAGCATTTTAACCTGATCGCCAATGTGCCGGTGCGGAATGTAAGTTATGGCTACAAATTAAAACGTGTTTAAGACTTGCTTTTGCCTAATTAAATTTTAAATTAGGATACAAACTTCCAATTCTATTGAAAGGCAAGAACAGCTTTCGATATATATAATATAGAAGTAAAATAGTAGCCTATATAATTCCGAAATTGCTGGATTATAAACTGTCTACTGTCTGATTTTCCAATTGCAGAACGGAACACTGGCGGGAAATATATCAATGAAGAAGAAGCATCCAGAGTTTTCCTCGGATGTTTTCATCACATTTGAGGCACTGGATGTGCAGGTCCTGGTGTACGAGAATGCGAGTCATCAGCGAGTGATGAGCCTGTTGGATTATCTGCAAGATACCACATCAAAGCTCGTCATTGGTGCGTTTGTACTAAGGTCCTATCCCAAGCAAAAATACTTGTTCAACTCCTACAAGGTGAGTTTAAGAATCGAATTATTAATATTTTATTTATCGTTTTTGTTTTAAGTAGATCCTCTCACGGGCTCAGAATGTTCACGCCTATGTCAACGCTGGTTTCCTCATCGAGTGGCAGAACTCCCAGCATCGCATAGTGGCCTCAGCTCGCCTTTGCTTTGGCAACATTCGACCTGGCTATGTGCATGCCCAGATTGTCGAGCAGTTGCTAGAGGGTCGTGATCTGTACGACAATGCGACAGTATCGCAAGTCTTTGAGCAGCTGCTGACCAGCCTGCAGCCTGTGGAAATGCAGGCAGAGGCATCGCCAGAGTATCGCCAGAAACTGGCCTGCTCACTCTTCTATAAGTTTTTGCTCGGCTCGGCGCCCCAGGAGCTTATTCATCAGAGTTTTCGCAGCGGCGGTAAGCTGTTGGAGCGACCAATATCCTCGGGTAGTCAAACCTTTGAGACTATTCCCAAAAAGTATCCGGTGTCCCAGGCCGTGGAGAAGCTAGAGGGTATATATCTATATATCTAATCCACCTATTTATTATGGGAATTAATCTAATTCCTTCCTTTCATAATAGGCCTCATTCAGTGCTCTGGGGAGGCCAAATTTATGAATGATCTGGCTACCACCTCCAATACTGTATACTGCGCCTTCGTGACGGCAAAGAGAGTGGGTGTCACAATTGAAGAGGTCGATGCAAGAGCCGCCTTGCAGTGCAAGGGCGTGGTTGCCTTCTTTGACCTCAAGGACATTCCCGGGGACAATAATTTCAACAACACCACATTGCTTACAGTCCCAGGGGAAATCGAGGAGATCTTTTGTGCTGGACGTGTAAGGTACTATGACCAGCCACTGGGCGTAATCGCTGCTGTGGATCACGATGTGGCTGTCTATGCGGCGACTCTGGTGCAGGTGACCTATGCCAAAGACCAAGTGAAGATCTACACAAGCATGAGCGCCGTACTGGCTGAGAAGGAGATGGAGAAGGATCGACTTGTGTCTTGTACCAGCAATTGTGAAGAAGTCTCCAATCCTCTGCTGGAGCCAGGCGATGTTCTGGGGCGTGGTATTCTTGAGTTAGAGCCTCAGTACCACTTCACCTTGGAACCACAAACCACTGTGGTTGTTCCCGTTGAGGAAGGACTCCAAGTTTGGTGTGCCACCCAGTGGATGGACGTCACCCAAGCCAGCATTGCCCGTATGCTTAAGATAGAGGCAAATACAGTGCAGCTACAAGTTCGACGTATTGGCGGGGCCTATGGAGCTAAGGGAACACGAGGTAATCAGGTGGCCTGTGCCTGTGCACTGGTTGCTCACAAATTGAATCGACCTGCACGTTTTGTTCAAACTATCGAGTCAATGATGGAATGCAATGGCAAGCGGTATGCGTGTCGCTCTGACTATGAGTTCCAGGCGAAGGCCAATGGCTCCATTCGAATGTTAAGCAATAACTTCTATGAGGATGCAGGTTGCACGCTCAACGAAAATGTGGTTGACTTTCTCACCACGCCTGCTCTCAAAAATGTTTACAATTTGACCAGCTTGAACTTCAAAATAAAGGGCACGGCCGTGAGAACCGATGCGCCCAGTTCGACATTTTGTCGGGCGCCAGGATCCACAGAGGGTAAGTAAAATTTCAAATATAATTAAGCATCCAAGCTGATTCCCATCTCTTTATCCACACAGCCATTGCCATGACGGAGACGGCCCTGGAGCATATTGCATTTGCTTGCAAACTGGATCCGGCGGATGCCCGACTCGTCAATTTGCGTCCCGGCACTAAAATGGTACAGCTGTTACCCAGATTCCTTGCGTCCACGGAGTACCGAAAGCGACGGGAAGAGATCAACTTGTTCAATTCCCAGAATCGTTATCGCAAACGTGGATTGGGCCTGGCCTTAATGGAGTATCCCTTTGCTGTCAGTTTTGCACTATGCTACCCCGCGACAGTAGCCATTTATCATGCTGATGGATCTGTGGTCATCTCGCATGGTGGCATTGAGATGGGCCAGGGCCTGAACACAAAAGTGGTTCAGGTGGCTGCCTTCGTGCTGGGCGTGCCATTGGAGCGAGTCCGTGTGGAGAGCAGCAATACGGTCAACGGAGCTAATTCTTTTGTGTCAGCCAACTCCATGGCCAGTGAACTGATTGGCATTGCCGTTCGCAAAGCATGCGTCACGCTCAATGAGCGTCTGGAGCCCGTTAAGCGCAGTCTGGGAGCTCAGGCCAGTTGGCAGCAAGTGGTGGAGGCGGCTTTCACCCAATCTATCAGTTTGATTGCAACCGAGTCGTTTAAAAGAGGCGATCAGAGCAACTACAGCATCTTTGGCTTGAGTCTAAGTGAACTGGAGCTGGACATACTGACTGGTAATCACCTGATACGCCGTGTCGACATACTCGAGGATGCAGGTGAGAGTCTCAGTCCCAGCATTGACGTCGGTCAGGTCGAGGGTGCCTTTGTGATGGGTTTGGGTTACTATCTAACTGAGCAACTGCTCTACGACCGCCAGACGGGTCGCCTACTCACGAATCGCACCTGGAACTATCATCCACCGGGTGCAAAGGATATACCCATTGATTTCCGCATCGAACTGCTGCAAAAAAGTCCCAATCCCGTTGGTTTTCTCCGCTCCAAGGCCACCGGTGAACCCGCTCTCTGTCTGGCTGTGGGAGTTCTCTTTGCCATGCAGCATGCCATACAATCCGCCAGGCAGGATGCCGGACTTCCGAGAGAGTGGGTACGTTTGGGTGCACCCACCACACCAGAG